ACCTAAGAAGGCCCGGATGGAACTCCAAGATTTGCTGTTTGAGGAGCTCCCTACTAGGCCAGTTGGTCCTTCGCTGGGAATGCATCAGCTTAGCTGCATCCTTCACCTGCACACAGTTGGGATTGCTTTGCTTAAATGCTCATCTCAAAGTCCTGAAGGACTATGATCGCGCTTTCCTTGCCAAGGCCGCGTTCCGTTTCCCACCCAACTCAGGCTTGCGAGGCCCCAACCCGGAAGAAATGGAATTCGCGGACCGGCAGCTCTGGCATGAGATTGGGGACCTATTTGAGCAAGGCTGGTCATTGGACAAGGCAGTTCATGAAGTGGTACATGTCCGTGCTTCGCTTGCTACACTGCTTCAGCCCCGCCCTGCTTTGCCTGCCGGTGTTCCCACCCCACATCACCCGCGAGGGCAGAGAGTGCGGCAAGATGATCGCAAGGGGGATGATCGCCACAAGGGCAAAGGGCGGGGCAAGTCCACTGGCAAGGGAAAGGGCCGCTCAGGCAAGCAGGCACCGCGCCAGCAATGGGCAACCTCCCTTGATGGAAAGTCCATTTGCCTTCGCTTCAACGGATCCAAGGGATGTCAGGAGAAGAATTGCCGGTTCCTCCATGCATGCTGTGTGCAGGATCCGGCCACGGGTAAAGCCTGTGGGGGCAAGCATTCGGCCACCGTGCACAAAGGCACGCCGCATTGACACGCCCCGGGGTGACACTCAGGCCGGGGTCAGCTTTCCTTTGTCACCGCAGCTTGAGGAGTCCCACATACTCGTCTCCGACTCGGAGACCGCTTTGGAGCATTCATCAGTCTCCGGCTCAGACGATGCTTTCCCATATGTTTCACTATCCTTGCCAGGTGATGCGGTTCAGGGAATTCCTGCAGCTCCATCTTCAGTCCTGGAGGTGATGGAGTCACTTCCATCCGCGCCCATTTTCCTGGATATTTGTGCTGGCTCCACCTTTCCTCTTGGCAATGCTATGCTTTCCAAAGGTGCTCATGTATTAGTGGTGGACGTTCTGGCGGGCGAGGCGCTGGACTTGTGCAATGATTCCATATTTGAGCAACTCCTTCGCTTATGCTTTTTGGGGTGCGTCAGGTTTGGGGCTGCGGGCCCCCCATGTCACCTCTACTCTCGCCTTCGCTTGAAACCGGGAGGTCCACCTGCTTTGCGAACTCCCGAACATCTCAATGGAGTCCCGGGCCTCAGCACGCGCAATCAGTTGCTAGTGGACAGCAGCCGGGACTTGCTTGAACGTTGCCGCAATTTGTTGCTTGCCACCTTTGATGGCGGGGGGCATTTCAGTTTGGAGCAGCCATGAGCTGGTCGTCCAAGCGCTTTTGCTTAAATCAGCAGTGGACCTTATCTATAATTCGGCGTGTTCGGTTGGTGTGTCTATTCACAAAGCCTGGACGTTGGCCACTTCCTTTCCTCCCCTGACTGCCCTAGCAGGGCGCTGCGAGCATCCCAGATCAGCCCACTTGGATGTCACAGGCTTGCGCGATATCTCAGGCGGGTTTGTGAGTCAGCAGACAGCAATATACCCAGAACAATTGGCCTCCCGCTTTGCAGACACTGTTTCTGAGCTTTGGGGGGGCAGGGCCACACCATCAGCCTACCTGATGCTATTTCATCCCTGCCAGTCAAGCAGTTCCTCGACCCCCCGTTTGCTTCGCAGGATGGGGGAGGAGTTTTCTCCCAGCCGGACTGGTCCCTGCCTCCCAAGACCTCTCTCGATCGGCTTCATGATTTCCGTCAGGCCCTTATGCGGTATTTAGCGGACCAGCGCCTGCCCGTCAAGGTCCGATCCTTGGCCGCGCAGGGAATGCAGGCGTCCCCCTTTTCTGAGCCGGTGGTGACTCACATGCGGCAGTTATTCGCTACGTGGGCGTCAGACCAAGGGTACACTTCTGAAATTTCGTGGGACAAGCCTGCCGGCCAGCCGTACTGTCTCCACGCCTTGGAAGCCCTGTCTTCCATTCTTGAGGATCGAGACACTATGCTATGGCCTTCGCTGATCAGTGGGGTTTCTACGGGATTTGATGCCGACATTCCTCCTTCCCACGTCTTTGCGCCTAAGGAGAGCCACCCAGCAAGTGACGACCTTCACATCTGCTTCGGCAACTGGACGGGGGCCGAGGAAAACCCATTCAGCAGGAGGTGGCGTCGGGCTGGCTGGAAGAGGTCCCGGATCTAGCACATGCTCAGGAGCGTTGGGGGGACCGCTTGGCGGTTGGACGAGTAAATGTTGTAAGCGCCGAAGGGCGTAAACCCCGGCTAGTAGTCGACAACACCGTTTGTGGTACCAATGATGCTTGCACCATCAATGAGTCCTACTCACTGCCTATGCTTTCCTCGGTGCGTCATTCCTTTCCCATGCGTGAATTTGCCGGAACTGCTAGCGCCTTTTCGATCGACATCGAGGCCGCGCACAAAACAGTTCGTGTGCGTGAGCAAGATCGCGGCCTTCTGGGCCTACGCACTCAACTTCCGGGACAGCCAGCCAAGTATTACTTTTACAAGGTCTGCCCATTTGGGGCGGTCTTCTCAGCCCTATGGTTCGCCAGGGTCGGCGCTTTCCTTGTCCGTGTCCTTCACATGCTGATTTGGATTCGCCACATGCTCGGCATGTATGTGGACGACCTCATTGGTTCCACGGATGAGCAGGCAGTGTACATGGTAGCTACAGTCACCCTGGCGTTTTGTGATATCTTTGGCTTCCCTATTTCCCTGGCGCAAAGTCCAGATTGATTGGATTGGCTGGTCATTTCACTTTCGAGCAGGGGCGGTGTCGGTGCCTATCAGCAAGCGCCAGAAGCTTTGCTCGGGCGTACAGCGTCTCCTGTCTAGTGAGCGCATCTTGAAGCAAGATCTTCATCCAGTCATTGGCTTACTTCAGTGGTTATGCCAGCTATACCCAGCTTCGCGTCCGTGGATGTGTCCCCTTTATTCTGACCTTCACACGCCCCTCGGCACCAACTACAGTATCGCGCACGGCGATTGGCCGGAACTGATCCATCATCTTGCACCTGACCTGCATTTTACCTCTTCTTGTCGAGGTACTGCTATTTCTAAGGGGGCCAAGCTTCTTTCGGTGCGACGCCACCGGGCTATACCCTGATTGGTCCACAACATCCAAGGGCAAGTGGGCGCACTTCAAGCATACCCCTGGCCATCACTACTACGCAGCCCCTGAAGCAACCCCTGAGGCAGGTCGACTACCGCAAGGAGAGCAAAGAGGAGGGGGACAAGGACAAGGACAAGAAGGACAAGAAAAATCAGGAGGCGGTGGAGGAAAACACGCAGTGGGTGATAGAGACGAAGAGGGCACTGCGCCCCAAGAGATCCCCCAGCAGGGTGATGGCGCCGAAGAGGACACTGCGCCCACGCAGATTCCCCAGCAGTTCGACAACGAAGGCACCGAGCCCAAAGAAGACGGACGCAGTGGAGAAGAACACGCACAGGGTGATGGCGCCGAAGAGGACACTGCGCATGCCATTGCAGAGATCTCCCAGCAGGTTGACATCGAAGGAAGCAAGCCCGGAGCACAAGAAGCGGATTGGGAGGAACCACAAGGAGAGGGAGAAGGGCAAGAAGGCGGTGGAGGAGAACAAGAAGACGGCGACGGAGGCGACTGTAAACACGCCATGTTCAACCTGGGCTGGTCCGAGGGGTACATTGCGGGATTCCAAGAGGGATATCTTTTCGGTTCTCTGAACAGATAGCCAAGAGAATCCTCTGTACACTAGTTTGCTTACGCCGCGGCACCAGGATCCGCAGTGTCAGGCGAGAAACGTGTTGCAAGGATTTGCTCTTGAGTTTGTCGGGCGCATCAAACATGCTGGGCGACGCAACATCATGACTGCCAATGTCTGCGCCTGGCTCAGGACCGTCGCGCCGTTGGCGCCAGTGCCTCAGACGGCGAAGCGTCTCATGCGGCGTAGCTCGACTGATTCGGCTGTGAGTTGTCCCAGTTGGATAATATAACCACACCTCCTTCGGCGCAACACGCCTCATTCGGCGTTTTTTTACTTATGGACGGTTTGCATGCATTCCGAACCAAACTGAGAGCCATCTTGCCTCATTCCGCACGCTCCTTGTTCTCCGTCCCCGCTTCGACTCGTCTTGCAAGTTGTGTGTCCTGCCAGCAGCGAAATCTGCCGCATGACAGCTGAAGGAGGCCCGCCCCCATCAACACAATAATGCCTGGCAATTCCTGTATTTGTTTACCACAACCCGCCGAACGAGGCAGGGCATTGCCGAACGAGGCTTCTCCCCTAGTGAAGATCATGAACATGGGATGCATCTGATTCGCAAACGCGACAGGACCCAGATCTTTCTGGTCGGGGGCTCAGACTTGCACAAAAGTTTGGAAACCTGCCGCATGAGGCAAGGCAGCCGAAGGAGCCCCCCCCATCAACACAATGCCTGGCAATTCCCGCGTTTTTACCACAGCCCGCCGAATGAGGCAGGGCGTTGCCGAATGAGGCTTCTCGCCGAAGGATGCTCAACCACGCGTCTTGCAGTTTTTGCTCTCAGGATGAATCTCCAACGCGGCAACATTTGCCGTGGACTTAATTCAGTGGCATTGTTTGCAGACATCATTGGATGGCGTTTCACACCCAGGTGCCCATTTAATTTCAGAATGCGACACGCAGCCCCTTCCAACTCCCTGATTAGAGATCTTTACTGCGGTGTTGCATGTTTAGCCAATGGGTTCCAGTTCCTCAGTCATTGAAATTCAAAGTCCAGCAAAAAACATTCATTTGGAAGCTCTATAAACAAGTTGACAGTCGCCTCATTCGGCGTGGGGGCCAATTTTTGCGAATTCCGGAAAGCCGTCCTTGAAGCTCCCGACCCTAACCCAAACCTGGGCAGCATCCGTACACTGAGCATGCACATGACAAGCATCTGATGCCTTGCAAACTGTTCATTCAGCTGACACTGCTTGCAAGCCAACGCTTGTTCCGCGAGTCTGGTGCGCGATTGAATCTGAAAACATCACCTGGCCGGGGAAGTAGGCGTTCTGCTCCTCCTTGCCTTCTTCTCGGCTTGGCTGCAGGTGCGGCTTGGCGTTTCCGCGCCTGAGACCGGCTCCTTCTCCTTGCGATCCGGTCCTTTCTCCTTCGCCGGCTCCTTCTCCTTCTTCTGATCCTTTTGCTTCTTCGCCGGCTCCTTCCCCTTCTGTTCCTGTGGCGCCTTCTTCTGATCCTTTTGCTTCTTCTTCTGCTCCTCCTTCTTCTGCTCCGGTCCCTTCTCCTTCGCCGGCTCCTCCTCCTTCTGTTCCTGTGGCGCCTTCTTCTGATCCTTTTGCTTCTCCTTCTTCTGCTCCTCCTTCTGCTCCGGTCCTTTCTCCTTCGCCGGCTCCTCCTCCTCCATCCCCGCCCTCTTTTTCTCCTCCTCCTCCTCCTTTGCCTTGTCCACCAGGCGGTCTGTGCACCGTTGCCACATTGACAAGTGGGAGCGGAGGTCCGATTCATGTTGCTCCCTCGCCTTTTTCAAGGCTGTTTCCAGATCCACCTCCATCTGGTTTTTTGTATCGTGGCCCACTCCCTCCACCTCTTCTCCGCCTGAGCCAGCTCCAATTTATGTAGCTCTTTCATCTCGTTCAATGCACTGGCGTGCTGCGTCTTCATGTCGGCCTTCTCCTTGGCGTGCTTCGCCTGCATGTTGGCAGTGTGGCTGCTGAAACTCGCGTCCTGACTGTGGATGTGGGCCATGAGTTCCTCTTTTTGTTTTGCCACGGCTGCCAGTTTGTCCTGCTGCTCGTGACCTGCAGCCTCCTCCGCCTTCTTCGCCACAAGATCCGTCAACTGTCGCCGGAGGTCGACAATTTCCAGCCTGAGCTGTTCCTTCTGGGCCTGGACCATTTCCACATGTTCGTGAGTCGATCGTTGGCCCTCACCAGATACCTGTTTTGTCTGGCTTGCGAAGCCGGCCTGTAGTCATGCACCTTCGGGGCGGCGGGCGTTGGTCTGTTACCCCCCCCGGTGACACCACTTCCGCTCCCGCCGCCTCCGCCACCACTTCCGCTCCCGCCGCCTCCGCCACCACTTCCGCTCCCGTCGCCTCCGCCACCACGTCCGCTCCCGCCGCCTCCTCCGCCCCCGCCGCCTTGGCCGCCCCCGCCCTTGCCACCTCCGCCGGCTCCGTGTGGGCCCTGTGGCCAGTCCGCGTTCCGCCAGCCGTCACCCCACCAGTTCCAGTCCATTGCCAGCAGAGGTGACTTTTCACTGACGGCCCGGGCAGCTTTGAGCACTGAAATCATACAACTCACTCAGATCACTCCAATCAAGCAAATCAAGCAACATAAATCACACGCGCTTCATTCAGCGCTGTCCCGCCGCTTCCTTCAGCGGCCTCCACGCCATTGTTGCACATGTTTTTTTGGGAACACTGCCAAATTAAACGGCGCTTGCTCAAGATGATGTGCGTCTTTCCAGCAAACATGGACATGAAAGTGGGCAAAACCAGGCGTCCCTGCAAATCGTGTCGTCCTTGCCAGTGTTCGTGACATCGACCTGCCGCTGCCGACAAGCTTGAGAAAAAGAAACAATTGACAGGAAGTCTGCGGTGCGCATTCAACACCCTGCCTCATTCTGTGGGTTGTGGTAAAAACATGAAAAATGACAGGCATTATTATTGCACATCCTTTTTTGGTTGATGGGGGGGCCTCCTTCGGCTGCCCTGCCTCATGCGGCAGATTTCCAATCGTTTGTGCAAGTCTGAGTCCCCGACCAGAAAGATCTGGGTCCTGCTCCTGATGATGGCGGCGGCGGTTTGGTGGTTGCTGATGCCGGGCCCCCCTGCGCCTTTGTCTTGGGCTGCTGCTTTGCAGCGAGCTGCCCCGTTCCTCCTCCTCCTCCTACTGGTGGTGTGGCCTGCCCATCTCGTGATGGCTGCCCTGTTCCTCCTCCTCCTCCTCCTCCACTTGCTGGCGCCGGCTGCCCATCTCCTCCTCTTGGCACTGGCGCGGGGGTGGCAGGCTGCCCTGTTCCTCCTCCTCCAATTCGGCAGGCTGTGGTAAAAACACTAGAATTGCCAGCCATTTTGTTGACATTGATGGGGGGGCCTCCTTCGGTTGCCTTGCCTCATGCGGCACATTTCCAAACTTTTGCGCAAGTCTGAGCCCCCGACCAGAAAGATCTGGGGTCCTGCCGTGTCGGCGATTCAGATGTAATTATTATCCAATTTTCATGATCTTCAGGGAGGAACGACAACTGTTTTGTTGGAGGATGACTATCCCTTTCCCG